TATCTATCTATCTATCTATCTATCTATCTATCTATCTATCTATCTATTTAAATACAAGGTCTATGTGCTAGTAATTTTATGTCAACATGACACAGGCTGGAGTCATCTGAGAAGAGGGAACCCCAGTTGAGAAAATTCCTCCATAAGATTGGTCTGCAGATGAAACTACAGAGTATTTTCTTAATCAGTGATCCATGTGGGAAGGTCCCGCCCATTGTGCATGGGGCCATAACTGCTCTGGAGGTTTTGGGTTCTATAAGAAAGCAGACTGAACAAGCCATGGGGAACAAGCCCCAAGCAGCAACCATCCATGGCGTCTGCATCAGCTCCTGCCTCTAGGTTCCTGCCCTGTTTGGGTTCCTGTTCTGACTTCCTTCAGTGGTGGACTATTTCCTCCTCAACTTGCTTTGGTCATGGTGTTTTATCACAGTGATAGTAACCCTAAGTAAGACAGTCTCACTCTTTAGTTCAGGCTGATCTCAAACTCATGTATTTTAGGTTGGCCTTAAACTCATGGCCATCCTCCTGTCTCAGTCTTTTGAGTCCTAGGATTGCAGATGTGGATTGCAGTGCCTGCCTAGACATGATTTCTCAGTGTTATCTAAGCCACGACAGTGGTATCAGGTATACTATACATCAAGAGAAGAAGATGATGGATTCACATTTCTCTATTTCATCTTCACTCAGCTCCTCCACATCCCAGGGTCTTGACTTGAAAAGATCTATGTTCTAAATCCAAATTCACACTAGTCAAAACCCTGCAGGTTTCAAGTCGTTTTAACTGCATTTGACGTTATTAAGGGGCAGTCCGTTGGCTTATATTAACACAGAAAGGGCAGCAGTGACAGAGACTAGGGCTGGACAATTCAGCATCCACTATTCCCTCATTCCAAGCTTCTCTTCTGGTTTTTGAGACTGGGTCTCTCTATAGTCCTAGGTATCCTGTACTCTCTGTAGACCACACAGAGGCCTCAAACAGTTGCTTCATATAATTAATTGGTTTTATTTTCAAGACAGGGTCTTACTGCGTAGCCTTTGTTGGCCTGGAAGCTGCTATGTAGATGAGGCTAGTCTTGAACTCATCTGTTAGCCTCTGCCTTCCGAAGGCTAGGATTAGAGATAGGTGCCACCATACCCATGTTCAAAAACGTCTAAGTGAGAAAAGAAAAGAATATAGCAGTCTAGGCACAAGCAGTTCACTCTCTGATCTGCCACCAGACTTTTCCATACAAGAGAGAAGCCTGCTAGGACTTGGGCAGCTGAACTGATGTAGTAACTGTTAGCTCGCCCCTGACCAGGGTATAAATGGGAATGAACTCCGGAGTTACGTTTGTTTCTTCCTGGAAATGATAAAGCTAGCATTATCTGTTTGTTTGCTTGTTGTTACAGCAAGGTGCTTCACGCACTGATTCACCTACTCTTCACACTAACCCTATGAGACAGGTGCTTTTTTTATTAATAGTAGTAAAATTGGTATTGATAATATTTTACTATTATTGTCATCAATCATCATTGTATTGGTAACTGTGTGTGTGTGTGTGTGTGTGTGTGTGTACGTGTGTGTGTGGGGGGGTACACATTTATGAGTGTTCATATACATGTGGAGGCCAGAGATTGACATCAGGTTCCTTCCAAAGTCAGTTTTTACTTTATTTTTTAAGAAGTGGCCTCTTTATGCACTTGAAACACACTGATTGGCTACAAGCGGGAAGAGACTTTCAGGCATCCTCCTGTCTCTGCCCCTACAGTGCTGGAATTCCAGGCATGTGCCATAGCACCCTTCTTTTCGGGAATCTGAATTTGGGTCTTCATGTTCACCCAGCAGCTCCTTACTAACGAAGCCATCTCCCCAGTTCCTGTTCTGGCTTAGTAGAAGTGAGTCCCATTTAGCTTAAAAGCCCTGATTTATTTGGAAGAAATGCTTCAATTTCTACTTTCCCATTTAGTGTCTTTTTGTGACAAAGATTCCTGATTTCAATTATGTTTCCAAGGTGCTAACTATAGCTTCATGCAGATTACCATCAACTACTTCTAATTCTAAAAGGCAAAAATTGCCCATGATTTGAGTCCAAAGCATCATGGAGAATATACTCCTGATTAGAAGACAGAACAGTGAAGCAAATTCTAATATGCCACATTAGCAACTTCTGACGCCGGTGTCATGAACCTGCAATCGTGTGCTGATCATGGGCCGTGGCTGTGACTGGCTTCTTACAGTCTGTCTAGAGTTTAGCCATCGCGAGAAAAGGGGAATAAATGAACGAGTTCCAGCAGCCTGCCAGTCACTGTGATTTCCATGCCAAGTGTTATCTAGTTTTAGAACCGTCCCTGTGAGCTAGATAAAAACCAGCCTAGTTTTTCAGCTAAGGAAACTATGTAGAATTTTCCCAAAGCACCTAGCCGAAGCAAGCATCGTTGTTTACAGATTCTTCAACCTATCCTAATGAGATGTAAATTGGCAATCATAAACGATATTGCCTACCTCTGTGTTGTGAGCAATTAGCGTGAACATGAAAGGAGGAATTGCCTCTAAGCTGGTGATCACTGCGGCCAAGTATGGCTCCGTCCTTCAAAGGACTGGAATCCGACCTGTTCTTCCCTGTGGACGGACAATGAGGGTGTGCTGCAGCTAGGAAAAGCCTGCTCATTCTTCTGAAGACACTCTTCTTCAGTACTTTCCCTACACGTTCCTGTTTTATTTTAGGACACGTTCCAGGCTTCTCATAAAATGCTTGTAGGTTTATCTGTTTTGGTGGCAGTACAAATTATTAAGCACTCCTGAGCAGGAATGACTTGAATCGCAAACTGTCACCCTCCTGCATGAGATGAGTCCAGTGGAACCTCTCAATAAAGCTCTTAATTGTATCCCAGGAGTGTCAAATCTTGTCACGCATATGCTTATAGCCCTGTCTGTTCTGGTTACTACACATCAGCCTTCCCCATGTCTGTGTTTTGTCTGTGCGGCTGCTTAAGGGGAAGCTGCCGCTGCCGCTGCTGCTGCTGCTGTCTCCCACAGTATGATGTGATCCACCCATCGATGCTGTCCTGCTAGGCTCCCCAAACAGACAACATCTACAAGTTCCTGAACATCTCTGCAGAGAGCCCTCAGATCCCATGTTACATCTCCTCAGGAAAAACCGCAAATGTGTTGCTGTGTCTCATCATGTCTCAGAACACCCCCATCAATGTCTTCCTATGGCTATACCTCCCATGACGCTATTAGGGCTGCAGAAGGAAGAATGTGTGGGTGAGCAAGGCTTGTGATACCCTCCCTTGCTGTCTTTCCGAATCTAGTGTTTCGATGGGTGCATAAAACATGCATGTACAGTTACACATCCACATATCAGATATGCTGCGCACATTGGAATCACAGAAGGTGACATATAAACTCTCAAAATACCAGCTTTTTCACAGTTTTTTCCCTCTGCACTTATATGGTGTTTATAATCTGAAGCTTTTCTAGTATGCCAAATTTAATCTGGCATAGCTAGGGGACCTTCCTTTCTTCAAATACAATCTCATGACGTTTTTTTCTCCATCCTATAAACTGTGCCCCATGCAAGGGGAGATGATTTTGAAATTCTGGTCTAATTTCTTGCTAGGGACTCACGCTGAGCCAGCTTTGACCAATCTTTACATACTTTCGAAGTGAAGATCGACTTTTGTCTGCTTCTGTCCAAGATGAGGGTGTCCTGGGGCCAGCGTGCAGATGCTGGTTCTTTCTCACGTGTGGTCTGCTGGCAGGGCTGGGGGCAGCGCACGGAAGACTCAGTGCCCACTGATGATACAGAAACAGTTGTTTAGATTCCCTGAGTATTTTGCTAATAGCTAAGGTAGCCTTCAATTAATTTACCAGATTCTTTTTTTTTTCCTGATGGGGCTGGAGGGGTGGCTCAGTGGATAAGAGCACTAGTTGCTCTTGTATGGGAGCCAGGTTCAGTTTCCAGCACCTCTGTGGTCACTCACGTCCATGTGTGACTTCAGTTTCGGAGGATCCGATGTTCTCTCCTGACCTCCATGGACAGCGGACATATACATGGTGCATAGACACAGCAGGCAAAACACTCATGCCCAATAAATAAACATCTAAAAATGAATTATAACCTTTATGATAACTCTGAAGTGAAACAAATGCTAATCATTCTAATATTCACAAATCATATAAATATAATATTAAGAGGTCAAAATAACAACTTTATAAGTTCTTATTGTTTCAAACCTAAGTTAAGTTGGCTGCTACACCTTTGGGGAAGGTTCAGACAGGGTCTCCCCGTCTAGCTCTGGTTGTCCTGGAACTTGCTATGTAGACAAGGCTGGCCTTGAACTCATAGAGATGCCCCTGCCTCTGCCTCCCAATGACTGGGAATCAAGGCCTGTGCCACGACACCTGGCTGCTGCTATAAACTTTATCCGCTGTTGTCTGTTCATGCAAACATGTCTGTTAATCCAGCAGGGCCACTCCCACACACCGTTTTGAAGAGGTGGTACCACATTCCTGGGGAAACGAGGCTAAATGGATGATGGAAGGAGAAGGTCTTTACTGTGGAAAGGCCAGGAGTCTCCTTTTTGCTCTTAATCGGGTTTAGCCACATATAAAGGAAAGCGGATCCAAGACAAGGAGACATCAGGCGTTCCATCCCCGGGAAATACGGTTACACTGTCTCTTGCGTATGTATGCGGCTGTGAGCTGTGACAGCCAGTGTCACCTCACAGGTTAATGAGGACAGCTCTGAGGAGACAGGTTCTGCTCAAGCGTTTATTCCGCTGCAAGTCAACCTAGACAGGTAGCCCAGTAGGAATGGCATCTAAGAGTGCCTTCCTGTGCTGTCCAGAGAGGCACAGATGTCCACAAAACAATGTAAAAGATGGAATTCATTTCACACACAGTTTAAGAGAAAGACAAAACACAGAGAGCAGAGTGCTATTTACCCATTACAAGCTGGTCTGGTGGCTCACACTTGTAGTAGGAGGATTACTGTGCATTCCAGGCTATGCTGGGTGATAGTGAGACCCTGTCTCAAAATAGTAATGAGACCACCACCAACCAAATAAGGACACTAACAAAAGCATAAAAACCCCCACATAGTGAGATCCTGTCTCAAAATAATAACAAGGCTCAATAAAAACAATAAAAAGACCATCACCATCCAAATAACAATAACAAAACTAGAAAAAAAAACCCACTAAAGCCACACTCCTTAGTGCCAGCTAAACATCTGCATTACAGCCTTTGAGGAACAATGAAGAAGAGAGAACTTCAGTTCCCTGACTTTGCGGCCTGGCACTATCCAGGCACTATCCAGGCACTCTCCAGGCCTGTTGTGAGAACAGCCAGCAAACATCTCCATGTGGGAAGCAGGCGTGAAGCAGCAGAACTACGGTTGCAGAACTGTGGAGCATCCTAGATGCTAAGAGGATGGTGAGCCAGGGTTAGGGACCCAGCAGGAGGAACCGTGAACATCCATTCTTAGGGTCTTCACATGGAACCAGCAAGGGTCAGTGAAGGAAAGGGAAGGCTTAGTGGGGGCACTTCCAGTGAGTGCCCCTCTGTCTTCTCCCCCACTTTGTAGATACCTTTCAGAAGGTGGGGTGGGGGGTGAGTTTGAACTCCCAGGGGCACTCAGTGATACACACCTGACAGAAGAGGGAAGGAGAATGTGTTGGTGGGAGATTGAAGCCTATGCAGGATCTAATTTGGGTCTAGAGTTGTTCCAAGGTGAAGGCCAAGCAACCTTCACCGTATTTGGGTCTTATAGTTGGAATTCTTAAAATCTACTGTTTTTTTAAAAAAAGATTTATTTATTTTATGTCTACTAGTGCTCTATCTGCATGTACACCTGTACACCAAAAGAGGGCATCAGATCCCACTCTAGATGGCTGTGAGCCACCATGTGGCTGCTGAGACTTAAACTCAGGACCTCTAGAAGAACACCTCTTGCGATTGACTTCTAAGCAATCTCTCTAGCACCATATTTACTTCTTTTTTAAGCTTGGCTTTCTTATATATTACTTTTACGGGGAGAAAATATTTCAGGCACAGAGTTTGTTAGTACCTCTGATAATAATCATAACTTTGAGCATCACACATGCCTTAGTTACATTGCAACAGGTTTTTCACTTGCTCTGATTTCAGCTTGCCGCAAGTCCCATATGACCTGACAACATCATTCTTCTTGGTTTCAGCAGAGATCTTGAGTCATAGGTGGCAGGGGCTTCCATATTCTGAGATGAGATATGGATCCCCACATGGGGGCAGTTGGGTAAACGAAGGGTGTGTGCAGCTGGTCACTATTCAGTTGTGTTCTTTATGAGGCGTGGGTAAGGATGCCAGCTTGTTGGTCGTGTGACATGCTGTCTCTGCAAACAATTGGGAGGCTCTGTATATTATTATACACACACATATTTATATATGTATTTATTTTTGTAATATACATTTACACCCACATGCGTGCGCACGCACACACACACACACACACACACACACACACACAATAGCTCTTGTATAGCAGTGCGCTGGTGGATTTCAGAGTGTGAAGAGATGTTAACAGCCAGCTAGAAAGGACACTTTGATATTGTCACCTCCGAAGAGACTGCAAGATGCTGACTATAGGGCAGTGCTACACACACCCCATACCCAGGGAACTGCTCAGTGGATTCACAACAGTGTCAGAGGGGAGCTTTTCTGCTCTTCTTTCTTCTACCTTGGACACTGGGGTAGCGAGGGCCAGCTTAGCATGCAGTGAGAAGACAGATGGGTCTAGAATGTACACATTATACAGCAAAAAAAAAAAAAAAAAAAATCCCAGATGGGTCTCCTTCTCCTTGCTCTGTGTGTGTGTGTGTGTGTGTGTGTGTGTGTGAGGGTTGTTTCATATATGTTTGGTAAGTGCTCTGCCAATGAGCTACAGTCCCAGTTCCTGACTATAGGTTTGTGTGTGTGTTTCATGTTCTCAGGCTGTGGAATTTGTAGGCATATGCTACCGTGTCCATGTCTTCCTCAGGGTTTAGAGAGGTAACTTCCGCAGAGGAAACATGATTCAACTCTAAAATAACATCAAAAGATTTTGACTGTGTTAGAGATTCAAATATTTTTTTTTAAAAATATAGATACATCTAGCATTAACTAGATGACTGGCAAACTTTAACCTCCTTCCTCCTACACCCCCAGTGTTTCTAGAGGAGTCCTGGAGTTTCACTCAAGGGTTTGGAAGAAGGTGGCAATGCCCCAGTTCAGGTCTCATGGGCTGTGGAAGGAATGATTTCTGATCATAGCGAATGAACCTCATCGATTGTATTAGTTTTATTTTACCACGTAAATAATTTCTTGTGCCTGTTCCAAATTCTATACTGATATCTTGGTACCACAGGATTCAGCACCACAGGCCTCAGTAGAAGATTCTTTGAGACCCAGTAAGGTATGGACAGGGGGAGATGAAGACAAACACATTACCAGCTCTTCCGTGTGGTCCCTTCCATCACTCCGTCTCCTTTAACAACACAGGAAGCTCTCGGGATGACCGCTGTTGTACGGCTGTTGGATGCGGAATGAGAACAGAGAATTAGACAGGAGTGAGTCCGCACCATAGCGAGACGGGGAGCGCCATGTTTGCTTCCTTGCTAGCCCATCCTGTGCTAACCTCATTCCTTAGCCTCTGCTAGCCCCCCTTGGGACTGAAGGAGGAGGAGGAGGAGGAATTGTTCTTCCCTAGTAATGACCACTGTTTTGAGATAAGGGAGGAGTCAGCCCCACTTAGAGCACACACAGCCTTTATCTGCTTCCCAGGCACCTGTAAAGTTGCCTTTAACATGTCTGGAAGAGGCTTCTGCCGAGTGCTTGCTTGTAACTTTTTAATTGAATAGTTTATGTTGTTGAAAACAGGACTTCCGATCACCCACATGTCAGACCAGTGTTCCATCAATAAGCTACATGGCAGCCCACGGCTTTCATTGGTAGAGACTTCAGCCAAGTAATCTTTTGAATACGTGGAAAAGCACAAAATAGCTATAGAAAGCATCTCAACCGCTGACCCCTCTCAGAAAGTTCCGAAGTAGTCTCTATAACATAAGCTCATGACCATGCAGTATGTGCTTTAAGAATCCGGGAGCATAAAGGAAATGATTCCAGTGTTTCACCAGAGCCTGTCAGAAACTCAAGGCTACTGTCCATTTTGGAATCGTTTTGTCTTTTTTTTTTTTTTTTTTTTTTTTTTTTTTTTTACCATGTACCAGAACTTCTAAAGAAGGAGAAAAGTTTGAGAATGAGAAAGTCTCGGCTTTTTTTTGTTGTTGTTTTTGTTTTTTGTTTTTGCATTATTGACACAGTCTTTTAGGATTAGACAGCATCATATTCTGATCTGCTGACTTCCTGGCATCACGACCTTTTCCCTAACATGGAAAATCACCCATGTCCCATTGGTGGCTTCTTGTTTGACTCTGTGTGCTGCAAAAGCAAAGAAACAAGGCCCAGTGAGACCCCAAGGTCGTCCGCTCCTGCCTTTGTGCCGGGACGTGCAAATGACCCAGGCCAATCACTAACCTGTTTTTAAAAGACCTCCAATCAGAAGGAGTCCAGGCTGCCTTCCTGCCCTGTTGCTGGGTGTAGTTGCTCACCCCCAGTGCCTTCCCATCTCCTACCCTCTTATCTCAGGCTTCCCTTTTCCTCCTCACTTTCAGGGGCCCCCTTCTTAGCCTGGTCTCCGCTTCCTGGCCGCCTCTTCCCAGAATTGGTGGGAGACGAGTGTTAGCCGGCAAACAGTCCAGAGGTAAGGTAAGTTGCAGGCACTGGTCCTCCGGCGTCTGGTCCCCACCTCCATAGGGTCAGGCAAGGGTCAGCCGCACTCCTTCTTTTACAAGGCATTTATTTGGCAGGGAGTGGGGTCTCCACCAACCTCAGCAAACACTTCAGGCCCCTTCAGCTTCCCCAGGCTGACATTTCTGTGTTGCTTTGCAAGTGGGACACTAGGGGGCTCCCAGGAGTCGGAAGTGGCAGAAAGTTGTTTGAATGAAAACTAACTCCGGGCTGTGTTTTGAGAATTCAAAATTTAAATTTTATTTTTATTTATTTATTTTTAGTCATCTTTAAAAAGAACCTCACGTGCCTGAAAACCGCAGCAGCCGGTTTACAAATCGTTTTGCTTCGCTGTCAGGAGGCGGCAGCTTTTAGGGCTGAGCTGAGATGTTTGAAAGGTGGAGCCCCGTTGACCATGAGCTATGGTCTCCTTCCCTGCCGCAGCAGCCTCGCAAAGTTCTGTGCCTTAGGGTCAGAGGTTCCATTGTTCCTGGAGCTGAGCGTGGGGCCAGCGGTGTAAGTAAAGAGGTCTTTTCTTTTTAAACCAGTTTCTTCCTCTTTTTAAACATGAGGAGAGAGAGAAGAAGAAAAAAAAATCATGGGGATTCTTTTCTTTCATTCTTCTCTCTTTAGTGGAAAGAAAAGAAATAAAAAGTAATTGGATTTGTGTGTGTGTGTGTGTGTGTGTGTGTGTGCGTGTGTGTGCGCACGCTTGCGCTTGTGTGGCACACATAGGGAGAAAATATAAATGTTCCTCTTTCCAAGTTTTACAGGCACTAAAGACTGTTAAATACCAGTGTAAGATATTAGAACATATTATGGGGACAAACTGGGGCATTTCATTTAAAGAGAATATGTTTAAATGTGAACTCACTACTTGGTGTCTTTGCCCAAGCAGTTAGTATATATCTTATAAAAAAAAAATAAGGGTGCTTATACAAATTTTTTAGATGTGTTTATTATTTGTCTTGAGTTATTATTTCTGAATCACATAAAGGGGGTGTGCAGGGGAGCCTAGTCCATGACGTTTGATTTAATGCTTCGCTTCCCAGTCAGGTGTGGTGGCTTTAGCCCTGAGCCGAGCCAGCAGCTACCCTTCGCAGCTTGTTTTTATTAAAGTGAAATCAGGTTCACACACCGGTCTTGTATCCATGTTTGAAACTTTTACAGCAAACTCGGTAGTATTTCCGGAAGGAAAGGGTTACTCTCTTCTCTCCTCTCGCAGAGGAACTGAAATGGGTTGAAATCGTGACTCAGTCAACTTTGTTTCCATTCATCCCCAGAGTCAGCCTTCCTTTCTCCTGGGGAAGGCAGACAGGAGTTTAAAAGGCCGGTGGCTGGAGCCCCAAGCGTTTCCAGCGCCAGCAAGCGACCCTTCTCTTTCACCTCTGCCTATTGGAGACCACTTAGATATTGAAGCGGACGGGACGGCTGGATTCAGGAAGCCATGAATCATGTCCTCAGAAACGAGCTGCAGACTTTAAACTCCGTTCAGCATGTGGAAGCGGCAGAGAAATGACCTGTCCAGACAAGCCGGGGCAGCTCATAAACTGGTTTGTCTGCTCCCTCTGCGTCCCTCCAGTGTGTAAACTCTGGAGCAGCCGGCGGCCTAGGACCAGACGGAACCTCTTGCTGGGCACTGCCTGTGCCATCTACCTGGGTTTCCTGGTGAGCCAGGTTGGCAGGGCCTCCTTCCAGCATGGGCAGGCCACTGACAGAGGCCCACCCCACAGCCGCGACATCTCCAAGGTATCCTTCCCTGAGATTCCCCTGGATGGTACCCTGGCCCCTCCAGATTCGCAGGGCAATGGGAGCACTCTGCAGCCCAACGTGGTGTACATTACCCTACGCTCCAAGCGCAGCAAGCCCGCCAATATCCGTGGCACGGTGAAACCCAAGCGCAGGAAGAAGTATTCTGTGGCATCTCTAGCCCCTGGTCAGGAGGCGCTGGTTAAACCATCCTTTATCCTAAAGGAAGTTGCACCGGCAGCAGATGCTGAAGTACCTGGCTATGATCAGGGCTCCCTGACTAAGGTTGGAGAACGACCCTGGAGGGTGCTACGTGGTCCTGGGATCAGAACTGGGGATTCAAACTTGCGGCAGCCTAGAGCACGAGAGAGCAACATTAGGATTTACAGTGAGAGCGCCCCCACATGGCTGAGCAAAGAAGACATCCGCAGAATGCGCCTGCTGGCTGATGGTGAGGTGACCAGCATCCTCCCGGCAGTTTCGAAGAGTGGTGCCCACTTGCTGGTATTGGAAGGGAGCACCTCAGGCTCTGTGCCTGTCTGCGGGCCTAGCCCCTGTGGGCTACTCAAGCAGCCCCTGGACATGAGTGAAGTGTTTGCCTTCCACCTGGACAGGATTCTGGGTCTCAATAGGACCCTGCCATCTGTGAGTAGGAAACCAGAGTTCATCCAAGGTAACAGATTTACTGGCTTCTTATTTGCAGCTGTTGGGGATTTGGGATCATTTTCTCTTTTTCCCTCACCCTCTCTAGATGATTTTTCCCCACCCACACTTCCCATTTGGACAGCAGCAGCGGCGGCAGTTCTCTTTCCATATGCGTGGCATTCTTTCACGCAGTCTGGTGATGTTGGAGTTCCAGCCACCGGCTGTGCGGGGCGTGTGAGAGTCAGCCTACACTGCGCAGTGTCTGCTCTCCATGACCCTCACTGCACGTTTTCGTGGCATATTAAATCTAATTTAAGCCAATGACAATTTGCATGATGACAAGAAGCCAGGATGGAGGCACAGGATTTGCTGATGGCCCTGCATATTGTTAGTGTCCTACAGAAACTTGCTTCCAAGGATGGTTTAAAGAGTAAGAGGGTGTGTGTGGGGTGCGGGGGCGGAGAGATGGCTCAGTGGTTAAGAGCACTCAACGCTCTTGAAAAGGACTGGAGGTGGAGTTTTGTTCTCGACACACACATGGCGGCTCTCAACCGCCTGTAATTCCAGTACAAGGGCATCCAATACTGTCCTCTGACCTCTGCAGGCACCATGAATGCACGTGGTACACTTGCACATGTGAAAACAAACACTTCTATACATAAAATAACGATTCAATAATAAAAAGGATTAAGAGGAAACTGAGTTATCTTTCCTCAGCAAATAGGATCTTTGCCAGAGATTAAGACAGAGCTAAGCACGTAAGAGTCAACGCGATTACTTTCCCTCTCACCAAGGGATTCAACCTCTTTTTCTCATATACAAAGAAAATAAGGCAAAGTCATCGATGTACTTAGAATGTATACTAACTAGCCATGTAATTTAAGTTTCATCATCTACGGAGCATGATTTTCAAAATCGTGTCTTCCTGGAACACAAAGGTATTGTCTAGGCGTGGGGCCACTAACTGAAGTCCAGGGCTACAGTGCTGGTCCGTGGGAATGATGATGCCACAGAGGGGACACTCTTTGAGTAAGGACGCCACCGCAGGGTTAGGATCTGAAGTACGCTCGGTCAGGGACCTGTGTTGGAATGCAGAATAATCCATATGTTACAAAATAAATCCAGGCTGAAATGTTAGCGCATCGCTCAAGCTTCCCCAGCTATGGAACGGCAAGGTTGTCCATGCAGCTGCTCACACATGGAGAACAGTCCTTGGCACAAGCTAAACCTTCAGTAAGTGTTGGCTATGGCTGCTATTACACCAAGTACACCGAGTCCCAAGTTCCCCGAGTTGCTTTGAGCCTTCAGCCCTCAAAGGTCATTTTCTCTTGTGAGGAAAAAAAAAATAA